CTCCATTGCTTGTGATATGGTTTTGTTGTAAAAGGAACATTATTTGTTACTATAAAACATGTTTTTGAATAAATTAATTGTTAGTTTTTTTTAACATCTAATTTAAATTATAGAAGATTTATTCTAGGTTAGGCATCTAGGGGATTTCTAGGTAACTATAGATCACTAATAATCCAGTTTTTACAAAGATTACAACACTCAATTACTATTGTGAAAATGAGTTTAATTGGCTTTAGACAGGCTTTTTAGTTTATTTAAATGCTCAATGGAGTTAGTAAACTTTTATTGTTACAGTAATATTTTTGGGTTTTCCAACATCAATGGCATATTTTTTTGTAATGTATCATTCCAAACACTGGTTATTAATGCTACTATCTAACATAATTCATGTAGTATAATATAACATAATTAATAATAATTAATCTAACATAATAAATTGGGAGCAAGCTGGTCTAGTGGTAGAGCGTAGAACTTGAGATCCCAGGTTCAAATCCCACCATATCACCAATGGATTTTATTTTAGAAGTGGAAGTGATAATATCACAACCCCTAGCTCTATCCTGAAGTAATGTGAAAAACAATCCCGGTGTAGTACCTAGCGTCATTGGAAAAAAATAGAAAAAAGGAGGCATATTTTTTTGCAATATCATTCTTAAACCTTGGTATTGTTACTATCTAACACATAATAGCTAAAAAAATCTTTAAAACTACGCTCGTGTGCTCTAGTTTACATTATTATATGGTAACAAATAACAATGATATATTGAATGGTTTAGGTCAAGTAGACAAACTTCGTGAGCTTCTCCTCGAAGGTTACGATCATATTCTGGACACCCACGATGACCAAGCCAGCATTGTCGAGGTGGCCAATGAGCGTGGACAAACCCAGATCCTAGCCTTCCTCGACTCCATCGCTAACTTTGAGGTAACTCGACACAATATCGACTCGGTCAGTTTATCATCACCTTTACCACTACAAACTAAGATAAGCCCACATCTATGTGTATTTAAACCCAAATATGAATGATGGAGCGCTGTATGTTATGGATCTAATGGATAAAACTAGACATTCCCACATTAAAGTTTGTAGCTAGTTTAGAATAAGAATGCACATGCTTTAATTCAGCTACTGTACCAACAAAGTGTGCTAATGTAATAAATTATTTGTCAAAGACACCAACTCTTGTTACCAAGCCAAAACTGAATAAATAACTTTTGGTTCATTACACAGCATTTTTTGCATCATATCTACTATCACAGTAACGAGAGTGATCGGGTCTAGTGGTAAAACGTAATACGTTGGTCCAATCACCAATAGATTTTATCTTAGTGATTACGCTGCAACCCTTTGGGCCTAGCCTGAAGTTACTATAATGTGAAAAATGGTTTGGGGCTAGAGCATAATAGCATCCTAGGATGTGAAGGTGGGACATAAGCTAAGGGAGAAACTAAAATAGACTTTAGACTGTAGCAAATTTTGTAGCTCATAGAACTTTGTTGACTTTGTTCTATTTTAGTAAAAAATGTCTACAGGATATGCATATAAATGGAATGTCTATTTCCCTATCTAAAAGTCAATGAATTAAACTAAATTACTAAATTATTCTAACGACCCTGTAATGTTCGCAGGACCGCAGAGAACGACTGCACAGAGCTATCAGACTGGCTAGTGACAGCCAGGTACATGAGATGCTGCGTAACAATCCCGGACTAGCGCTTGCTAAGAACTCTTACTCTCGCTGCAGTCTTCACGTCGCGGTGTTGAACCAACACGACCACATCGTACAACACATTGCCTCCCACTACCCCCAGACACTTACAGTGGGCGACAATGTGAGTTTGTAATTACAAAATTATGATATGGCGAGACAACAATTTAGTTCATGAGTTGAATGTACTCGATTCTTCTTGCTCGAGTTAGTTATTGAATGATGTTCCAGCTCTTTTGATTCGTAGTGGAAATTTGGAGGCATCTGAATTAAGTGCAAAAGTACTCGGCATTCAAGCCGTTGTCTTGTAGTGTGGAGTCGGAAAAATATGTGAATTTTATTTAACATTCACATCTGAGTCCTGTCTGCAGATAAAGAATCAATTAGGGATGAAGTCATGAACTATCAATCAAGTCTTCTAGTACTCAAGTGTAGAACAAGTATCAATTTGAGTGGATACTCTGTTACTCTTAACAAGTAGTACTTGACTCGTCACATCACCTTAAAAAGGGTTATTTTAATTCTGCTTGATACTCAAATAGGTAAATCAATCCTTGTGTTTTAGGATTTTTATGGTTCCTACTAAATTAAAATTTCAGATATTTACAACAAATTTGGCAGTATTGTCTATTAGAGTCTTGCTGGCTTAATAGTTTTCAAGAAAAGTCTGGTTCACAGAAGTTTTGTATTGTCCCACAGCTCATGAGAACACCTCTTCACTACGCGATGGGAGTGGAAAGAGTAGAGACACTCAGTAAAATTCTGATCCAATCAGGAGCAACACGAGTTGTCAAAGACTTGGTTTGTATAGTTTATTTTCAATTACCTGACTTAGCTATTTAAGTTTACCCTACTATAGCTAAAGCAAAAATTTCATGGTGGATTCCTCTGGATTGTAAATTGCAATATAAAAATGGTTTATGTTACCTTTTTGCGTCAAACAATCCGTGTGTAGTTAGTACAACCACAGACAAAAAGAATTAAATATAGACCGTCAGCTGTGCTGCGGTTACCATAGGTTCTGGCGCACACCGCTTGGAGCACCACGGTAGTTACGGCGTATGCGCTACGTAAACTACAGCGGTGTGCGCCGGAACCTATGGTAACCATGGCAACCGCAGCACGGCTGACAGTCTATATTTCATTCTTTTTGTCTATGGTACAACTACAGCTGTTTCATGCCCCTAGGGCACATCTTTAGGTTGTCAGAAGAAGGTTAGATAAAAAGCGCATTCATCCGTAGATTAATTTGTCATATATGTCTACTAAACACAAAATACACAAAAAAAACAACATTTAAATGACATGAATTTACAAACTTGGCCAAGTGACAAACACGCGAGACAGGTGTCATGACTGCAGGCGTGTATCCAAGCATCAGCTGTTACCCCCTTCCCCAACCTGTTTTGTTCTGGTCTAATTGAATGGCAGTATTGTAAATTATGTTAGATCTGAATGAAATTTGTTCTTTCAATAGGCCTATATGGTTGGGTTGTTCTTTAGATGCATTGTAAATTTTTAATTCCTCTATTGTTTCCATGTATTTGCTTTTATTACATAAATGCATAATTTATAAATTACTATGTATGCCTGTGTAGTTTTGGTTTGCCATAATTATGTGGTTGGCGAATGCTGATTTCGAGCTCTTTTTGGGTAGATGTTCTTTAAATCTAGTGGCGAAAGAACGAGCAGTTTGGTCGATGTAAAAGTTAGGGCAATCGTTGCATTTGATTTTGTAAATGCCTGTGTTGTTTACTTTATCGGAAGGCGTCTTTTTCTTTTCTTTGAGCGTACAAGATAATTTGTTGGATGTTTTGTATGCAGCTTGTACATTGTTCTTTGTCATTTCTTTTCTCAAGATGTTATTGAGTACTACTCCTAATTCAGAACAGAAGTTTTTTTTTGTTTCTGTTTTTTTAATCTCTTTTGTTTTATTTTTCTGTTTTCTGATGAGTTTATTAATGAGAGAGCTTTCATATCGATCGTAAACTGCAATTTGTTTCAAAATGTTTATTTCATTGTAATTTTCTGTAGTAAGTGGTACGGTTTGGATAATAGTCTGTGAACGAAACTATTGTAAGCAGCTGTCTTGTGGTTGAAAGGAATAGACATATATATCTCGACTTATTCATCTACGGATGAATGCGCTTTTTATCTAACGTTGTTCTGACAACCTGAAGATGTGACCTAGGGGCATGAAACAGCTCTAGTTGATGGTAAGTACAAACAGATCGTTTGACGCAAAAAGGCAACACAAACCATTTTTAAGAAGCTAAAAAGTACCCAATATAAAAAAATTTACGTCACAAAATTAATAGTGCTCATTTCAACGCTGAACTTTGTCTAGGCCCTGCTTTGTTCCTGCCCATAATATTACAGGAAGCATTACTAATTATTACTAAATAATTAGTAGGGACTCCTTTTTTTATGACTGAGCCTGACAATTTGACTAGTTGAAACTAGTTAGAAAAGAAAGCCATATCAGTGGGTTTTGAATAAAAGCAATACACTTTTTTCAAGAGGCTTTAATAAAGGTCATATAAGCAGAACCATGATGATAGTACTTTAAAAACACGATTAAGGAAAGAGAGAACGTTTTCCCTAGTCAAATATATGGAGAAATAATTGTTTTTGTCAAATTTTTGGGTGGAAGTCTTCGATTTGCGTCCCCCTGAAACCAAAAAGTAGTTTTCCAAGTAATGTCTGTATGTGTGAATTTTTAAAAAGCTAAAGACCACACCTGTGATCCGATTGTAATGAAATTTTGTATGTGGGGGTACTAATAGTATCTCCAAGTTTTATTATGATAAGGGTTGTAGACAAGTTAATGGGAGATAGTATGTGTCAATTATATGATTATTTTATTATTGTAGGTGGGTTTGGATTAAATGTGAAAAACGCAACTGTACTGTTAGTATAGAAGAAATATGTTTTCAGAAAGGACGACAGCCGAGTTACTACTTCATGAACAAGTCAGATGTACAAAAACTGCAAGATGAAGAGGATATGCTCAGAGTTTGAGCTTCAAATATACATGAATATTGAATATTTTTCAAAACCTATTATTACCGTACACAGTCAGTTTCAAATCTGGTTGATGAGGGGTTTTAAGCTCAAGATCTTGTTTTAAATTCGAGATGTAGTCAAGAAAAGATTCGGAGCAACAAAACCCTTTTAACTGAAACGTTTTTTTTTAACGTCCACAATCTCACAATGTCATAATTTGCGTTCAGAATATCTTTGAATTATGTTCAATAAGACAAGGTAAGGAATGAAGCAAACTAATCAAAATATTTTTATAATATTGTAGATATAATTTTATTTTTGAAATTGTACGTTTTTACTGTAAATAGTTTTGTAACAAATTTCTTAACGTAGAGTTAAAATGTGTCCTCTTACTAGGTATAACAGTTGTAAATATTACAGTATTGTTTTTATTGAACTTTAGATATGAATAAATGTTGAAGTACATTGTTGGCAAGTCATTTATATCTTTGTAAAACATCATTAAACCTACAACAAATATGTTGTAGTTGAACTATTGTGTCAACACAATTTTCATCAACAAATCTTTTTTTTTTTATTGTTTGGTGGTGCAATATAAAAGTATAAAAACATATAAAAAAGAGAAAAATACTAACATAAACATTAACAATAAACTAAACTAAGGTAAGCAACAATTATAATCAAACAATTTTAACTAGTAGATCGTCACGTGTGTGCGTATTTTTCTAGCAGTGTTTGTACGAAAGCAACATATTGTTCTTGAGCTGTTTCCTTAGCCATTCCTTTCTTCTTGTTCCAATATTCCCACTTGTATTTTCCTTTCAAATCCAGAAAACCGGGCTTATCTGTGAAGAAAAAATATAATTATTGGCTTGAGATTGTGCACCAGGACTTTTTGTCCATTTTAAAATCCAAAGGCTCTTTTGAAATGTGTTTATTTTTTCATGATTAAATTTAGCATGAAAGTTTAGGGCTGGATACTCTTGAATCAGTTCACGGACCTGCTATATTGGGTCATAAGAACAAGGTATTTTGGAGTAAAAAAAAAAATTTAAAGATTTTTTCAAATTATTACTCTTAAACCATGAAAATCTAAAATTTTCTTTCAACCATCTTGTGTAGAGCTTAAAAACAAATTATTTTTCCTACAGTTACCTAACAATGTACGTGTTCTCTCACTGATTTGAGAAAGCAAAGTGGCCAATTCGCTCATCAGTGAGACAATGTTAACATTTTCTCACTCTAATTACTTTGTCTCACTCCAGATTTGCAACGTGAAGGCACGAAATAGTGAGCGCGTAACATGCAGGCAACGTCGTATGCGCGCGAAATACGTTGGCAGCACTGGCTGTAAATCAGCTGGTCAGCTGTTGTATTTGTCACTTCACGTTAAATGTTATATTAAAAGTTCACTTCTGTGTAAAAATAGGTTATGTTTCTTCACCAATTTATTTGTTTTATGGTAACTGTAGGCAAAGTATAATGTGCAACTCGAGTTCAAAGTACAATTGCCTCACTCGAGAAACTATTCCTCACTCGCCTACGGCTCGTGAGTAAGGATTTCTCTCGAGTGAGTCAACTGCTCACTTTTCTCACTAGTTGCACAAATAACTATTCATATTGAAGCGTTGTTATACAAGTAAGATTTACAGAGAGATAATACAAACGATCTTCCTTTATATAAAGGTACACCCATTTAAAACGATCATGAATGTGTTTTTTTTATAGAGAAAAAGTAAACTGTTGTAGAATGCTTGTTTGTGGAGATATTGTAATAAGATTTGGCAAATTTATTTCATACTATACCGGCTATACTCCTATTAACACATTTTTACAAAAATTCCTTTTTCCTTTCCCCAGCAAAAAACCAAGTTAGGTACTCGCAAACATAATTTTACTTAAATAGGCAGGGCCACGGTTTTCATGTGACACCCGGGGTCCGAGAGATATTTCCACCCCCTCCCCTATCCTTCCACCTCCAACACACCTAAAACCTCTTGCGCCCTGGCCCCATGCTTAAGAGGTCCTGTAGTGAATAAATCTGACATATTTAAGGAAATATTTTAGTAAAAAAAAAAATCCAATTGGAAAAATGGAAATTTCCTCGGTCTTTAGGTATAGTAAGGTGGGGGTGTCACAGTGTGTGCTTTACTTGTTGCTGTGTACAGTAATTTCCTCTTAAATGGACCACTGTCGTTGACACTTGTTGTAACGAACTTACTCAGTTAGTAGTCAGTCTAAAATGATAATTGTTCTTTGTATGCAAATTACATTCCTAGAGGTGCTGACTAACCATGACAATTATGTCAGTCTGTAAAACGGACACAACAAACAGTAATTTTGATAATTAGTTATTAAAATATGCACCCTAAATGCTTTAAAGTAGGTATGCAAGTCTTTTCAATAGTTGTTTTCAATAGTAAATTAACCATTGAGCTATAATGTGAATGTTAAATTACTAACTTGAACTTGCTAATTTTCGGGATATCATTTATGTTTTGGTGTGCTTATCTATTGTTTACTTGCAGTATCCAAACTTAATGGTACATTTGGTTCACGTAAATGGATTGTCTACTTGCAGTATCCTAAATCAATGGTACACCTGCTTCACATAAATGAGAAATCTACTTTGCATTATCCAAAATCAATGGTAGGCCTACTTTTGGTTCACATAAATGAGATGCCTATTTGCAGTATTCAAAGTCAATGATATGTCGGGTTCACGTAAACGAATTGTTTTACTTGCAGTATCCAAACTCAATATGGTATCTTTGGTTCACATTAATGGAATTTATATTTGCCGTACCTATTCAAAGTCTGCATTAATGGTACTGGTACGTCTATTTCACATAAATGGAAAGTCTACTTACAGCATCCAAACTCAATGGTAGGCCTTAGGTTCACGTAAATAGAATGGATATTTGGAGTATTTAAAGTCAATGGTGCATCAGCCTAATTCCGGCAACCCTAATTATTGGATTCATTTCGTAGTAAATGAATCGTAAATTAATCCGATTGTTCATCCTTTTTCTCAGTACGGTATTTGTAAAAGTTCTATTTTAGATGATTCGTTGATTTAAAAAAAGTGTTCGAATCTTGTTTACCATTTTATTGTTATCTCGCAAATAATGTCATGGCGGAAAATTATCCCTTAATGCCCATGTTAGATTTCTAAAAGTTTAAATTAACGTAGGGAAAAGCCCTGTAGTCCACTTTGTACCATTTCAGATTCATACCTTCCCATGGTTGGTTACTATGACTATGCTACATTTCGTGCAGATCGCTTCAGCCGTTCAGGAGGAGTATTTGTAAAACAAATTTGCTCGCTTCGATACGCTTTGCTCAACAAATAAATCATCAAAGTAAGGAAAAATGGTTCTGGGATAAATTATTGTAGTAGGTAAATGGAATGACTGTAAAAAATGAAAAGTCCCACAAATATGCAACGCTTTTGCATAGAAAGAACAAGAAAACGTATCGTTAAAGTAAGAATTTACAAATACTGTACCTGTAGTGTTGTCTCCAAAAGTTCCTTGTTTGAAGAGAGAGTAAAGTTCAAGGAATTCTTCATCAGTTGGTCTTTCTGTGAGAGTCTTTACTAGCTCCTGGGCTTCTAGGAACTTCTAGAAACAAGTTAATTGCTACATCATTAAGAGGGGACAAAACTGGGTGTATATTGTTATCGAAATTATGATGTTGGGTTTTAGATGAGAGAAATAAATGCTTTGTTGCTGACTAAGATCAGCTGTTTTATCAGCCATTTCAGAGATTACTCCTTTGTCAGGTGTGTAGATTTAAACTTAACTAAATGATTACTGTTATGACTTTCAGTTGTATTTAAATATTTTACGAGATTTATTCATCAGTTGGTTGCCAGTTTTTAAGCTTTGCACGTGCCTAAATGTTTTCGTGTTGTATATTGTTTATATTGTTATATTGTTGACACAATGAAAATGAAAAAATATCTTGAAAAATATAAATACAGTACAATAATTTAGTCAACTATGCACCCGAAAATACCTGAAACGATCAAAGTGAATTAAAACATCTGGATTGCGAAGACAGTAAGTAACTTCAATATAATATATACACACACAATCTGCCACACTGAAAAATCAAGATAAAAACAGCTGGTTCCAGTTTCAATGCAACAAAAATAGCCAATTATTGCTGGTTTAGTAGTTTGGTAGTACTGTAGCTCAAAAACTACCTATCCTACAATATTAGATTTTAATATTTTAATTTGTGTTTATGGACACCTTAGTTTATTACAGTAGCACTTGATGAACTTTTTGTCCTTTTTTTAGCACAAAAAAGACTAAGTTAATCATTGATATTATTACAAGTATCAGAGGTATTTAAAGTAGCATATGTTGGGGTTACATAGCTAATAGCTGTATTTGCTTTGATGTAAAAAAAAACCGGTACATAAAATGACATTTGATCCCTAAAACTGAAAGCTGAAATAGGAGAGAGTTTGTGCCTGGAACTTTCACCCATCCTTAAAACTTTCTGTTAGGAAAAATGTAAATACCATGGCAAATTACAGTAATTTATCAAATTTGAAAATGTATTGAAGTAATAATATGTTTAATTAAACAAAGTGTTAACTATGACTTAGATGTAAGTTATAGAGACCTAGTTAAATATTGCCTAAAATATTTACTAGAATATATTACACAAAGTAAAGTTTAGTAAACAAGAAAAAAAGTAGACACCTAAGAAACAAAAAATATTAAAGTGGTACTTTTGAGAAAATTGATATTATCATAAATTATGTCATAATAAATTGGCTAACAATTTTCTTAGTGAGACTTGACTGAAAATGAACATCAAAGTAATTATCAGTATTTTATTATCAATTTATAATTTAAATCATCAATATGCTGGTTATACTAAAATAAACGCCGACAGGTAACTTAAAATTTACTAGTCTAAATTATGGTTAATTGTATTTTTAATAATATTGATATTGTAAATTATTGTTTATTTATTAATAAGGTGAAAAGTTATTGATTTTAATATTGTAAAAAAAAAATTTACAACTCAAAATATATGAGTAAGATATTCACCAAAAGCGTAATATTTTTTAAAGCTAGGCTTGTTCCGTTGTTGAAAATATCAGTTACCGGTAACTATTTATTTTCACTTAATAACGAAGAAATCAAATAACACGTCATGTAAACAAAGTTATTTACAAAAAAAGTAAAGTTATTAAAAGCTAGGTTATAATTTATTATCAGTTAACCAGAAATTCCTACTTAGTCCACATTTGGAAATCTATTTTTATTTCATACAAAAAAATAAATGGGAAATACAGCAATGTAACTTACTAAATGTATCCACAGAGAAATCACACTTTAGTTTTAAGCTCCTTATTTATTTAAAGTTCACTAAAAGCTGCCATTCATTCAATTGTTTAGAATACAGTTTTTTGTTGCATGACCATTACCACCTTATATAAAAAAAATGATAAAAACCCTTTATAAAAATGCTATAAAAATATTATTTTAACCAGCACAGTTTATTATTTCCAGTTTAATATCTGATACAAGTCCTTTCTTTTAAATCTATATTTTTACCTTTATAATTAAAACACAACACAAAAATCATTGACAAATAATCTAAGATTTACAGATGAACTATGATTCATCTACTACTGTGTAGCTACAATGTTGAAAACATCGGTACCTGTTCTGAGGTCATCCTGCCGGGAGGTTCACACAGTGAGTGACTGGTTTCACAACTCTCTCCCAGCTGTGGTCTGTGTAGAATAATTATAGGGTTGCCTTATATTACCCGCACTGCTGCTGACTGTTCTACTTTCATTATAGTCGGCACGCATCTTCATTACAACACTAGAAGATGCTCGCTCATAAATTTACAATTATGTGGGCAATTTAATTGCAAGTGGGTCGATTTTGTTTTAGCGAATTTCCCATATAAAAAGCTATTACTGTAGGTCTTATAAAAAGAGAATCATTTGGACCTGGGACCAATTTGATTTTTCGTTTTGATTTCCCAGAGCTCAAAACGTCATCTGTTTGAATTCAAATATTATGTATGTTAGTTAGCTTGATAATTCAAGTAACGATTATCTGGTTTTCGTGAAATTGTACAAAAGTGTAAACAAATAGTAAAACGAGTTTGCGAACTAGCACAATATTAATTGGACTATAGAAATGGATGGGATGGGAGTGTTGCTCTACACGTAGTGGTTAGAAAGAAAAAAAAGCTGTAAACTTTAAATTCCCGAGTTATACTTATTGTGAGCAGTCTTCCTATTTTTCCTATTGTAAAGTGTGTCCGAGTGTATTTAATTTAATGTTTAAATGTGCTTTTTTCACCAAAAACATTAATTGTGGAAACACCAGTCAGTATTTTATAAAAAAAAATCCATCAGTAATTGATTGTCATGAATAAATAAGGATGTAGGTTACACCATTTTGAGTGATTTCAAAGATTTTGGTTTTATTTGATTGAATCTTAAGTTTTCTAAAGAGATTATTTTATTTTTATTTTTTTTACCCAGTATATGCTTTGGGATTTCTTCCTATTTAATCAAAAACATTTAGATAGCTAACCAACAGATATTCAGTGAAAAAAATAGGTTGGCAGATTTGTCAAAATAATTATTCTATATTCTTAGGAATTGCTGCTGTAGGCTTAACTCAAAATTAATGTGACTAATTACATTACAAAGATCTACATCTTTAATGTTGATATACTATTTTGCAGTTGCTATACAATTACTTAAGGGTGGAACCTGGAACAACTTCAAGGATATTATTACTTCCAGCCTGGAAGTAATAATATCCTTGAAGTTGTATTTTAAAGCTATAAAATAATTAGTCAGTATAAACTTGAAACTCTATCTGAAAGTTTTTTAATGCTTTAACTACTACAAAGTAGTAATTTCGCCTTGAAGTTTTCCATGTTGGTAATTCGTTGTTAATGAACTCTAATAGTGTGGTTACTCTAGTGTCATCTTTGAGCTTTTTAATTGATCAATTTTGATAAAGCCTTGTGTAGTAACTTAGTGGCTAGACTGTGCAGGTCTTAAGACCAGGATACTGAGGTGTAACTTTTACACATCAGTTACTACTTTTGGCCCCAGAGCCAGCTGGTTTAGTGGTAAGAGTGCAGGACTTGGGTCTCTAAGGACCCGGGTTCAAACCCCACCAAATCACCAATGGATTTTATCTAAGTGATAATGCTGCAGCCCCTAGGCCTAGCCTGAAGTAATGTGAAAAAACAATCCCGGGCTTGTGCCTAGCATCCTAGGGCAAATAAACAAACACTTTTTCCCCTAATACTACTTTTAGTTACAATTGTTGACATGGTCTATTTTTGTTCATTGGACAAATTAAAAATCTTGAATTTAACTAATATGACCTACATAAAAATGTGCTCCAATTAAAGCTTTTAAGTAGATTTAGAAAGGTAATTATATAACCCTAAATACAGATAGAAAACTAACTGCAGTTAAAAACTCTGAAAAAATCACAAATGTATCGATACAATTTTTGGTGTATGATTGTGTTGTGTAATCTCTTTGCCCTATGCTTCCATAACCTTGTGCATCACTATCGCTGCCCTGAAACCCTCTTGACATGATGGCCTCTTCTACTATCCAAAACTCTAAATTAAATGTATTATCAAAACTATTCTTCAAGTTTTGCTTCTTATTCTAATAAATTATTTTAAGTTTTTTTTCTGTCTCCATGCATCTGCTGCCCATCTCAATGATTCATTTTTGGTTTCATTATACTTTCTATTTGTGAGTTTTTCAATACAGAGGAAGATCTAACCTAAAAGTTGTTCCTCACAAATTGTAGATGGATAGCGGTAGACCCTAAGCCATTATCCTCACTAAAAGCCATGTTTAGTGTGATTTGAACAGTTAATTAAAAACGGAAATTATGTGCTCTAGCTACTAGAACAGCTTTGTTCCTAATGTGAGGACATAAAATATAAACAACTTGATGAGATATAAGAAACATAAAAATGAATCATAGTAAAACACATTTTTTGAAATTTTTAGCTGAGCAATACAGGTTATAGCTATTATAAATTCAAGGTTAAATGAATCCAAATCATACATAAAAAGTTATATTCATATAAATTACAACACTTGATCAAATACAATAATTAAATTAAACACATTTATGTGCCCCTCGTATGTAGGCTTGCAAAAAGTAAAATTTGTATAAATATTTACAATATTTACACCACAAGCAAGACAAATAGAATTACAATAATATTTGCTACAAATATTATTACATTAAAAATCTGTCCAAGAATGTGAGTTTACTGACTTTCATGAAAACAGTTTAGGCCTAATTTCTTCTTCTTCTGACTCGAGATATTCTCCAAGCGTTGGGTTCCTCGTATTTATTGTAGAGAGGTTCGAGTCGTTGGTTCTTCTTGAATTTGCTCAGTTTTGTCGGATCGGAGAATTTGAAGAACGCCGGGGCAAACTCAACCAGCCATTTGGGATCAATAGTGGTTACTTCTCTCATGTATTCTTTGGTCGTTTGCACCAACTCATGATAAATCACCCTGTAGACAGAAAAACATTGTTTTAGAAGATCGCCAGTTGAATGGATAAAAATATTATCAACAACCAAGAACCATTGAATTCAGATACTGCACGTTGTAGACTTTTCATATAGGCCTAAACATACATTTAATGTATATATATATATATATATATTTATATTTATATACACAAACCTTGTACTCATTTTACCCTTGTTTTCATGTTACATTTAAATGGACTGATGTTGACTAAATATTTCTCTCTTTTTTAACGGTAAATTTTACATTGTCCTCTTTGTTCTTTAGTTTTGTAGGTCGGGTAGATTTTGTTAAAATAATTTAAAAGTTGCTGAAATAATGGGAAATAAATATTAAAAGTACATACAAAAAAATCTACACAAAAACTGGTCAGAAAATTTTCCAAAGTTGTCTCTAGCTGATCTATAAGGGTTTAAAAATTAAATACAAGACCAAAATGTCTTTCATACAGTAGAAATCAACAAACCAAAAAGCACAACTCGACTCGGCCTATTTTCTATAAAATACCTTGAATTTCGGTACAAATTTAACCATGCCAACTGTTGATATTCAAATGTAGTATACTCCCATTTGATAGTCATCCAACACCCAAATAATTGGAGTTATACTCTATTTGTACATCAGGTACAAGGAGTTTGGCATCACAAACTACTGTACAGTATAAAACCTAACCTAAAAATAAATCTACAAAACGAAACATTAATCTGACAAGTATTCTCCTAGGTTATAAGCAGGTAATGACAACAAGTAGCACTTTTTCACATTCAAACAAATTATTATCTATACTTAATGTAAATTTTACCTAGGGCATAAGTAGTTTTTTTTAAAGCCTCATAAAACTAATAGGATTGTTTTAATAATTTGCTTTATAAAGCATTCAACCACAGTTTTGAAAGTAATTGTTAAAAAATAATATATATTTGAAACAATACAGGATTGAATATTTAAGCTGTTAAAAGATTTAGTGATAATGAGTGTGAAAGTTTCTAAACATGACCTTGCCAAAAGCACCTTTCAAGGTCAGAGCTTTGACAGGAATGGTAAGGGAAGATTTTATAATCTGCTTATCTATGTGTAAACAGCCTCACTATTGTAGCTCTGTAGTAAAATAACAGTGTTGATTACCATGTTCCATTCATAATGCACTGTGAAATATAGTGGAGAGACTTGATTGCCGAGCTTTGCTTTGTGACAATTATGACTGTTTAGTCAGAGAATTCAAAGCAAAAATATATCAAGAAATGGGCAGTTTGTCTACATCCAATGATTTTTTTTTAATTAGGAGATTCCTGTTAATTTTGTAAATAATTACAAAGCTTACAAAAAATGCAGCAATGATTTTCAAAATTTAGTTGAGAAAGCTTGAATATTGAGTTTAGTGAAATTAGTTTGAAATAATGTAGCCTAGTGTGTAACAATTTAAAGAGATTATAAATATCCTGATAACCAAGCGTGAGATTTTTCACGGAGCAGCTAAAACAAGCTTGGTCATTGTTTTGATTGTTCTGTTTTGCACAGTTTGAAGTTGCATAATGACCTGATCTGATGGTGATTCCCACCACCTCAAGCTATGCTTTACCAATGATCAGAGGTGGATCTAGGACTTTGCTGAGGGGGGAGGGGGGGGGCACTTAAGTTTTTACATATTGTGTGGGCAAAATTTTGCATATTTTTGCACATAGGTCTTAGGTCAATGAAAATTAGGGGAACTTCATGAGGGTTCAAAATAAAACCCATTTTTGCGTTGTCTGCGTTGTAAATGCTTTGTCTGCATGTGTGGGACCTCCCCAAACATCTATTCCATATGATATAACAGACTGAAAGCATCCATGGTAAACATTGATCAGGTCCCTCTGATCAAGCAAAGAAACCAATGTTCTCAAGGCAAAACTCACCTTGCTCAAACGACCACAAAGATCTGAAATATGTGTTTGCCACGGCAGCTGAGAATTCATAACAACGCCCAAAAACTTGACTTCAGAAAGTTCTTTTATTGAAGATTGTGGTAGTTTAAGATGCAGTGGATTTTTGTTTCTTGTTAGAAATTGGACATAATTAGTTTTATTCTGATTTAAAAGAAGATTATTATTAAAAAGCCAGATATCAAAATTTGTAATTGTTGAAGACATGTTCTCTTGAACAACTTCAGACGAGCCCTTAAAAAGCATGGTGGT